TATTTAAAAGGTTTGGAGCTTCTACTGCAATTATCCATTTAATAAACATTGGTATGTATTTTTCCTCTCAACCTACTTTTGCTCCTACCAGACGTGGCCTTATTTTGTTACACTGTCATAAGACCCGGCTGACCCGCGTTTCTTCAATTCTCAATACTCCCCGATCGCCACCAATAATCGCCGTCGTCAGCCACCTTCTCCCTCTCTAATACACCCCAGATCCGAATTTTCACGCACATAATGTCTCATAGCGATACAATTCCCTTACACTCCACGTCCCAATCTGATATCGACGAGATCGAGAACCTCATCAACTCCCATTCCACTTCCGTCCTCCCCGCCCGCCCCCCGTCCCCTCCACGCGCCTCCATTCCCATCTCTTCAGCCCCAAATCCACCACCTACTTTCATTCCATCCAATCTTCCCCCACCTACCAACCCCAATACGACACTTGTCCCTCCAGTATCCTCCGCTGTTCCTAAACCCCCTCTGCCGCCAAGCGCTTCCGGGCCGAGTGGCAATATTCCCGCATCGGGGTTCGGATCACCTCCAAACACGCTGACGGAACCCGTTTGGGATACTGTGAAGCGGGATCTGTCGAGGATCGTGAGCAATTTGAAGCTGGTTGTTTTTCCCAACCCATTTAGGGAGGATCCTGGCAAGGCTTTGAGGGATTGGGATCTATGGGGGCCCTTCTTCTTCATTGTGTTCCTTGGCCTCACTCTCTCCTGGTCCGCCTCCGTCAAGAAGGTACTTATTCGCATGCGTCGATGGCGTTTAACGTTGTCATGTTGTGATCCTATGCACACTTAATTTTTTATATGAGCTCATCGTATACGCTTGATGCTAATGTTTGCCTTGCCTTGTGTATGAGTAGTGATGTAAATCCTATTAAGTGGGCTGGCGAATATTAAATTGCAGTTGTTTAGATACATGGTCTAAACTAGGTTCGTGTAAATTCTTGCTTCCGGTGGCAGTGTGTATAATAGGAATTCATGAATGTTTTTTAGTCTAGCATAATTTATTTTATGGGGTATTTTAGCAAAACAATAGTATACCAAGCTTAGTTCTCAGTGAAATTGGTCAGCAATGTTCGTTGCAAGATCTGCTGGCTGATCTAAAGCAATTTTTGTTTACTCTTCCCTCTTTTGCCTTGCTCTACAAAAATCACATTATTATTAGGCATGGGAGCTTTTTAGGTTGAGAATAAATTAAATTGATTGACAAGTCGGGTAGGTTTTTATTTATTGGGAATTCTTCTAATTAAAAAATTTATATGGTCGATGATGTTACTGCATTCGGTAATTTTGTAAGCCATCTCAAACAGAAGAAATGCTTATCGTGAAAGAGAAGAAAAATAGTTTCTGCTAAAGGGCTAGAAGGAATGGCAACCGCCCTGCCCAGCCCCATTTACTGCCTCCAAATTTTATTTGTTTATTAATATTATTAACAGAAATCTGGTGATTGAGCTAATGGGCTTGGGCATTAAAAAGTTGGGCCAAATATTTTTTGCGAATAATTTTTTTTTTTTTTTTTTTTTTTTTAAAAAAA